GCTGTGCAGCTGCTGCCCGCAGGCCTTCGCGACGACCGTCCGCGGCGGCACGGCGGGCGCCACACGTCGAACTCGCAGCCTCCTCCTCACTCCTCCTCCTCCTCCTCCTCCTCCTCCTCCTCCCTTACCCTCTCTTCTCTCCAACCTCCTCCCTCCTCCTCCTCCTTCTCCTCCTCACTCCTCCTCCCCCTCCTCCTCCTCACTCCTGCCTCCTCCCTCATCCTTCTCCTCCTCACTCCTCCTCCTCCTCCTCCTCCTCCTCCTCCTCCTCCTCCTCACTCCTCCTTCCTCCGCCTCCTCGCACCCTCCTCCTCATCCTCCTCTTCCTCCTCTCCTCTCCTCTCCTCCTCCTCCTCCCCTCCTCCTCCTCCCCCTCCCCCTCCGCCCGGGAAGCCGGCCCAAGCTCTGCAGCAGACGGTGCGCGGCGCCGGTGAGACAAAACCACGGTTTTGTAGACAGCCCGCCCTCCATCCGTGAGGACGACCTGGACGCGCCGATACGGCGAGAGCCACCTTTAGGGGGCCAGATGCGAACCCTACCCCTACCCCCCACGATTTCTGAGGGGGAGGGTGGGTTTCACTTCGCTCGGGAGCTTCAGGTCGAAGTGGACCCCACCCTCCCCCTCAGAAATCGTGGGGGGTAGGGGTAGGGTTGCCTGTGGCCCCCTAAGTGAGACAACCACGTTTTGTAGACAGCCTGCCCTCCATATCCGTGAAGACGGCCTGGCGCGCCGAGACTTGCGAGATCGAGAGCCACCTTTGAGAGCGGTTCCCCTCGCCGCGAAACGTTGTTGCAGTGCCAAGCTTTTTTACATCTTTTTTTTCTTTTTTATTCCATCTGTTTTTTGTCTCTTTTTCTCTTTTTCTTTTTCCAGGACTTATATTATTTTACATTTTTTTGTCTTTTTTGACTTTTCTCCAGGAGCATACATGGCGCGGGAGTCCCAGGCCACATGCTGGACGCGCCGTATCGGCACGCCTTGGGGTGCGACAGGGATGAGTTGTGCGTAAGGAGCACGGGTGGAGGATGGTAGAGAGGAGGTGGAGGATGGTGATGATGGTGCTGATGCTGCTAATGCTAGTGGTAACCATGGTGATGCTGACGATGACGATAGCGATGACGATGATGATGCTGATGCTGCTGCTGCTGCTGATGATGATGGGGGTGATAATGCTGCTGCTGCTGCTGCTGCTGATGATGATGATGATGATGATGATGATGATGATGATGATGATGATGATGATAACGATGGGTGGTGATGATGGGACGATGATGATGCTGATGCTGGTACTAAGGCGGGTGCTTCTGACTGCACTGAGGATGATGATGGTTATGATGAGTAGGATGATGCTGAGGCTGATGCCGGTAATGACCATGACGTTTTTGCTAGTTGTGGGGATGATGAGGATGTGGAAGGGTTGTAACGACGATGTTGTTCATCTGGATTATGAGGAGAGCAGGGTGAGGAGGGTGAGGATGAGGAGTGATGATGATACTGAGAAATACTAAATGAGGGCGAGCGGGAAGACTGGGAGGAGGAGGATGCTGAGGAGGAGGAGGAAGGATGAGAGCTGGTGACGGTGACGGTGACGACGACGACAACGGCGATGACGATTACGATGACGGAGACAACAACGACGACGATGATGCTGCTGATGATGATGACGATGATGATGGTGATGATGATGACGATGCCGATGCTGATGCTGATGATGATGATGATGACGCTGACGCTGACGATGATGATGATGATGATGATGATGATGCTGATGACAATGATGCTGATGCCGAGGATTATGCGTAGGATGGTGCTGAGGATGATGATGCTGATGATGATGCTGATGATGTTGCTGCTGATGATGCTGCCGATGCTTATGCTGATGCTGATGATGATGCTGAGGATGATGGTGGTGATGATGATGATGATGATGCAAATGATGCTGATGATGCTGATGATGATGCTAATGATGATGCTGCTGATGATGAGGTCGATGCTTATGATGTGGATGCTGATGATGATGCTGATGATGATGATGGTGATGCTGACCATGATGCAAATGATTGTGATGATGCTGATGATGACGTCGATGATGATGCTGATGATGATACTGATGAGTTGTGGTGATGAGGATGATGAGGATGATGCTGTTGATCTTCATGATGGGCGAGGAGGCAGAACATGATGAGGAGGATGCGGAGAAGGAGGAGCGTGATGAGGAAGGCCACGGCGATGACGATGATGGTTATTGTATTGATGACGATGATGATAGCGATGCTGATGCTGATGCTGGTGAGGATGATGATGGGGGTGGTGTTGAGCATGATGATGCTGCTGATGAGGATGATGATGATGACGCTTATGCTTATGCTGATGCTGATGATGATGATGCTGATGCTGATGCGGAAGAGGATGATGACGAGGATGATGATGCTGATGCTGCGTAAGATGATGACGCGATGGTGATTCTGACAATACTGGTGATGATTATGATGATGAGGATGCCGATGTTGATGATGCTTCTGATGAGCATGACGATGATGATGACGATGACGATGATGACGATGCTGATGCGGGTTTTGCTCAGGATGATGCTGATAAGTTTGATTAGGCCGATGATGTTCATGCTTACCATGATTCTGTGGATGATGGTGAAGAAGTTGTGGACGATGCTGCTGCTGCTGATGATGATGGGTATGTTGATGTTGCTGATCATGATGATGAGGATGCTGATGATGCTAATGATGGTAAAGGTGATGATGCTGAGGATGATGATGCTGCTGATTCTGGCAATGATGACGGTTCTGAGGATGCGTATGATAATAATAATAATAATAATGATGATGCTGATGATGATGCTGATGATGATGATGATGATGATGATGATGATTATGATGATGCTGGGCGAGGAGGAAAAGAGGAGGACAACGAGGAGGGAGAGGAGGAGGGTAGGAGGGTCTGGATGAGGACAATGACGACGATGACCATGCCGATGATGATGCTGATGATGGTGATGATGCTGGTGATGATGACGATGCTGATGATGACGATGATGCTGGTGGTGATGATGGTGTTGGTTGTGGTGTCGATGATGATGCTGATAATGACAGTGATAATGATGCTGCTGCTGATGATGATGATGATTATGATGAGTATGCTGATGATGAATGTGATAACGATGATGATGCTGAGGCTGAGGATGCCGTTGATCAGGGTGATGACGACGACGAGGAGGCTGATGAGTATCATGATGAGGATGACGAGGATGATGATGATGAGGATGATAAGTATGAGGATGACGAGGATGATGATGAGGATGACGATGTTGGTGCTGCCGACAACGATTACGACGACGATGATGATGCTGATGACGATGATAATGGTGATAACGATGATGATGAATCTGATGATGACGATCATGACGATGCTGTTGAGTATGGTGATGCTGATGATGAGGATGATGATGAGGTTGATGATGACGAGGATGAGGATGATAATGATGAGGACGACGAGGATGATGACGAGGATCAATATGATGATGATGCTACTGATAACGATTACGACGACGATGATGATACTGATTCTGATGATGATGATAAGGATGATGATGCTGACGTCGATAAGGACGGTGTTGATGAGTATGATGATGGGGATGAAGAGGATGATGGTGATCATGAGGACGAGGATGATGATGATGATGATGATGAGGATGACGAGGATGATGATGCGGATGAGGATGATGATGCTGCTGATAACGATTACGACGGCGATGATGATGATACTGATGATGATGATACTGATGATCATGATGACGATGATGATGATGCTGATGATGCTGATGATGATGATGATGACGATGATAATGATGATGATGATGATGATGATGATGATGCTGATGCCGATGATGAGGATGATGATGCTGATGATGATGATGATGCTGATGATGATGATGATGATGATGATGATGATGATGCTGCTGCTGATGATGATGATGATGATGATGGTGGTGGTGGTGGTGGTGGTGATGATTATGATGATGATGATGATGATGATGATGATGATGATGATGATGATGATGATGATGATGATGATGATGAGTATGATGATGATGATGATGATGATGAGATGATGATGATGAGGAGGAGAGGATGAGGAGGAGGAGGAGAAGGAGGAGGAGGAGGAGGAGGAGGAGGATGAGGATAACGAGGACTATGAGGATGGGTATGATGATGCTACTGTTGCTGCTGCTGCTGCTGCTGCGGCTCCCCAGCCCCCGCTGACGATTTGCGCTGGTCGCCCCCTGGCGGCGCCAGAGGGAGGCCCAGCGCAGATCCAAGGCAATCCGCGCGGGACCTCCGAAACTGTATGTTCATGTGGAGGAGGAGGAGGAGGAGGAGGAGGAGGAGGAGGAGGAGGAGGAGGAGGAGGAGGAGGAGGAGGACGAGGAGGATACTGCCGGCCTCCCCGATCGCCCCCCCTCGTCGGGCCCTGCAGTCCGCGCGGGACCCCCGAAGCTGTGTGTTCAAGCCCTTGAATCTTGCTCCAGTTCCTCCCTCCATCCTGACCTCAGCGTGTCGCGCCCGGCGGCTCTGCTCCGCCGCGCCTCGGCGGGACGCGCTATCCGCGTCCCAGTTCCCAGGCGTCAGCTTCCCGAGCCTTTCCCGGCCTCCCACCCCGCGGAGAGGAGCGACGCACGACCCACTCGCAGGGCCTGGTGTGTCGCCAGGGCCGCCGCTGCGACACGCTGAGCAAAAGTTCCTGCCCCTGCTTCGACTCGTCCCGTGCTCCCCCCCTCGGGGGCGGAAAAGAGGGGGGTGATGACTAGGGGGGGGGGTGGATATCATGGCGGGGGTCATGATATTTCCCAGATTTCATGGCATCTCTTCTTATTTCATTACGTCCCTGGCCCCCCCGCTGGGCCGCGCACATGCCGCCGGTCATGATTTGCACCCCCCCCTCTTGGACACCCCCCTCTTGGCCGCTCCCGACCCCCTTCGTCGGCGAGATGTGTGCCATCTCCTACGAGATTGCGCGGCTGCACTTCGACTATCGGCCCCTCCTCTTCGACCTCGTCCTCCGCAGGGTGCCCGCCGCGCCCCCCGGGCTCTCCCCACGCGAGGGGCACGCTGCGCATCGCCGCGGCCCCCGAGGGGTGCAGTGCAGGAGGACGATCTGGGGAAAAGCAGGAAGCGGCGGATGCGGAGGGGGAGGCGGAGATGGAGGAGGAGGAGGAGGAGGAGGAGGAGGAGGACGACCAGTGTAAACCCAAGAGCCATCAACGATGTCGGAATAAACCCTCCCTCCAAGCTCCCTCTTCATAGGTCCCTGTCACGGTTCCTTTCCATTGAAGGAACTGCCTCGTTGGAAGACAACCGTTTGAAGACCCTGAAGCATGCATAAACATTGTTATGGGGATTCCAAAGCCACGGATCAACCTGACAGTTGTCTCTTCACGATTCTGAACCGCACCAGAACGCCATTCCTCGGACTTCAACGCCGCGAGTCAACGTAATTGTTGCGCCCCGACAGTTCGTCATCGTGCCAGAACACCGTTTCTGGGATGGCAACCATGTAAATCCTTTGAACTGTTGCAGCAATGTGCGCGGCGCTAAGGCGAGAACCACATTCTGAAAAGGAACCACCCTCCTTCCGTGATGCCTTCGCACAATTTTGATACGGATGTGCGCGCCTTTAGGCGAGAGCCACATTTTGAAAACGACTCGCCCTCAATCCGTGAAACCCTTGCACATTTTTAGAACGAATGTGCGCGGCGCTCTGTCGCCCTCAATCCGTGAAGCTCTTGCACATTTGTAGAAAGAATGTGCGCGACGTTAAGATGAGAGCCACATGTTGAAAACGACCTGCCCTCCATCTGTGAAGCTGTGGCCAACTCATACATGGTGAGGAAGTCTCATGCGAAACGCCCGGCCCGCTATAAAAACTGGCCTCGGGGTGCGGCAGAGAGAGGTCATGCAGAAGGAAAAGGAATGAAGGAAAAGGAGGAGGAGGGAGGAGGAGGGAGGAGGAGGAGGAGGAGCAGGAAAAGGAGGAGGAGGAGGAGGGGGAGGAGGAGGAGGATGAGGGGGAGGAATAGGAATAGGAATAGGAGTAGGAATAGGAATAGGAATAGGAATAGGAATATTCGCGGGCAAATAGCGGTATAACAAACTTTTATGCCGTCGGGGACGCCTGTCTCCCCGGGTGGTTGCAAACATTCTACCCCTACGATGCCACGTAGGGGTATAATTTTTGCAACCGCCCAGGGGGCAGGCGTTCCCGACGGCGGAAGAGGAGGAGGAGGAGGAGGAGGAGGAGGCATGCGACTGCCGCTGATCTTGCGGCCGTCGGCGGAGGAGAGGGAGGGGGCACGGGACCAGGAAGGGACGGATGGGAGGATTTTGGGGGTAGGAATGGGGGTAGCAGGAGAAGAATTGCGATGATAGTGCTGCTGATGATGCTGCTGCTGATGATGATGATCGTGATGATTCGATGCTGCTGATGATGCTGCTGATGATGGTGATGATGATGATGATGATGAGGAGGAGGAAGAGCACCAGTGCAAACCCAAGACGCATCAGCCATATTGCAGTAAACCATTCCTCCAAGTTCCCTCCTCGTAGGCCCCTTACATGGTTCATGTTCGCGGAGGAAAAGCCCTGTTGGAAGGCAGTCGTTTGAAGATCCTGATCTGTGCCAGAGCACCATTCCTGGGACTTCGACGCTGCTTTTGCCTCTTCACGACCTTGAACCGTGCCAGGACGCCATTCCTCGGATTGCAACGCCGCGAATCAGCGTATTTGGTGCGCCCCGACGGTTCGACATCGTGCCAGAACACCACGTCTGGGATGGCAACCCTGAGAATCCCTGGACCTGTTGCCGCAGCGTGCGCGGCGCCGGGGCGAGCGCCGCGTGCTGCAGAGGCGCCGCCCTCCACCCGGGAGGCCGCCCTCGCACCATTTGCGGGGCGAAGCTGCGCGGCGAAGGCGAGGCGAACACCTCTCGAGAGCGGGAGGAGGAGGAGGAGGAGGAGGAGGAGGAGGCGGAGGAGGAGGAGGAGGAGGAGGAGGAGGAGGAGGAGGAGGCGGAGGAGGGCCGCCCTCCGTCCGCGAGGCGCTGCTGCAAAAGTTTCTGCGGCGGGTGCGCACGCGCGGCGCCCCGGCGAGAGCCACACTTCTCGGAGACCACCCGCGCGCTCTCTGCCCGCGAAGCTGCTGCACACTCTCACCTCGGGGGTCACAATTCTGGTGGGGAGGTCACGGGCGAAGCGCCTTTGCCCGCCCTGCCGGCACGTCTCGGGGTGTGTGGCATGGAGGAGGGAGGGAGGAGGCTGGGAGGAGGAGGGAGGAGGGAGGAGGGAGGGAGGGAGGGAGGCGGGAGGGAGGAGGGAGGGAGGGAGGAAGGGAGGAGGGAGGGAGGAGGGAGGGAGGGAGGAGGGAGGGAGGGAGGGGGAGGGATGGAGGGAGGAGTAGGAAGGCCTTCAGCGGGCACCGAGCCCCTCATGGAACCCTGCTCCGGGATGCGCCAGCGACGTCTGCCAGGTCTGCGGTTATGATGTTCCAAGCTACTTTAGCCTTGGTCACCAGACAGAATTGCGAGCACCAGAAAAAGTGCCGAAGATCTGGGGTTTTCACGTGTCGGGCCCTGGGAGGCACTCTTCGGCTTCGAGACTCTTTCGACGCTTTTCCGGGTGCTCAACATTATTTCAGGGATGCGGTCCCTGAGTACGCTGGGAGCAACATAACCTTTCGGGCTTGACGACTTTCCTCCAATCGCCTCGCGGGGTTCAGGTCCGAAACATCGAGGTGCATTCATGTAAATCAAGGTATATAGGAATTGATCGAGGCAAATTCAGAGATCCCCAGGGCAATCTGGGTGTATCGTGGAAGCTCCAGCGCGAGTCGAGGGACAGCAGCAGCTGTTAGGCCCTCGAACGTTGCCTGGCCAGTGTGGTCTTGGCGGGGGGGGTGCCGCGCGGGGCGGGACCCTCGCGGCCCGAGGAGGCGGAACGAGGAGAGAGAGAGAGAGAGAGGTGAGGGGGCCAGAGGACAACGTAGAAGAACCAGCAGAAGGATAATACGGAGGAGGAGGAGGAGGAGGAGGAGGAGGAGGAGGAGGAGGAGGAGGAGGAGGAGGAGGAGGAGGAGGAGGCGGAGGAGGCCAGTTTCGCCGATGTCTGCGAGCCCGGGAGCACGCACAGCAGGCATGACCCTGACAGATGCCCTCTACAAGCTGCGTTGGATTGACAGCGCGGTTGTTGTCGTCGTCGTCGTCGTCGTCGTCGTCGAGGTCGTCGTCGTCGTCGTCGTCGTCGTCGTCGTCGTCGTCGTCGTCGTCGTCGTTGTGGTCGTCGCCCTTGCCCTGTACAGGTGCTCTGCCTGTCCATGCTGGGGCAGACGGAGCAGGCGGCGCTCACAGCCTCCGTTCTCGTCACCGCTTCAATGCCCTTGTCGTTGTGCTTCCACTTGCACATACTCTGTCAGTTAATCATTTTCCAGTCTGTCTTGCTCTTCTTCGTATTCGAGTCTCTCTCGCTCCCTCTCCCCGTCTCTTTGCTTATCTTCTCTTTTCTCGTCTTCTCCTCTCTTCCCTTCGCTTTTCTTATCGAGGACGCCGGCGGCGCATCACTGGCCGCTCCCTGGGAGTTTGCCGAAGTGGTGCGCAGCATCGGATGTCGTGACGCGGCGCGTATGCCAGCTATCAAATGGCCCTCGGCCCATCCCGACACCGTGCTTGGGTTTTGGGTCGGAGTCCTCATGGACGCTTCTTGGGGCCTCTCGAGAGGACTCTCGGGGGCCTCTGCGGGGGAGTTTAGAGCCTCTTCGGAGCCTGGGGTTCTCTTGGGGGCACTCGGGGGCCTCCTGGGGGCCTCTTAGAGCTTCCTGGGGGCCTCTTGGGACCGAAAGCTCGAAATGTTCATTGCAGACTCAGGTATTGTTGAAGTCCGTATTGTTATTCTCGAGTTCCCTTTCGTGCCATGTATTGGAGCAGCTATTCGGGGCTGCTTGAGGCTACGTTGGGCAACATCGCGTGGCTTTTGCTGCCCTCTTGGGATGTCTCTTGGAAGCCTGTTGGGGCGGCTTGGCAGCCACTTGGAGCCCTCTTTCGCACTCGCGTGGCTGAAAGCTCAAATCTTGAGTTCGTGGTCCCGCTTTGGGCCTCTCTTGGTGCCATCTTCAGGAGTTCTTGGGCCGTCTTGGGTGCCTCCTGAGTTGTCCTGGTGCCCTCTGGGGCCGTCTTGGGGATCTCCTGGAGGCTTCTTGGGCCGTCTTGGGGCGGTCTTGGCCTCGATGGCGCGAATACCGTATAGTTTACTACAGATCATGGCCTCGAATGCGAGAATCTGTGGTAATGCACGAGGGCTCGTAGCCTCGAAGGCGAGACTGCGGCGTATTTTATGGGGGTTTATGGCCTTGGGGACGCGGTTAGCGTGTAATTCAGGAGGGTTGATGTTCTCGAGGGCGCGAATATTGCATGATTTACGAGGGTTGTATAGCTTCGGGGACGCGAGTATTGCATCATTTACAACAGTGTGTGGCTTCGGATGCGCGAGCATCGTGTACTTTACAAGGGTTTATGGCCTCGGGGACGCGAGTGTTCCATAAGTTACGTGGGTTTGTGGTCTCGGGGGCGCGAATCCGCTGTAATTTACTATGGTTTTTGGCTTCGGGGAGGCGAGCATTGAGTACGCTACGAAGGTTTATGGCCTCGAGGGCGCGCATATTGTGTACAGTGAGCGGCTTGAATAAGGAACGCTTACTTTTCAAAAGGGGCTCGGTCGTTCCTTAGGCTTGCATGCGTTACTGGTCGTTCCCCATGCGTTATGTATTATTTGTTCATCGTTCCCGATGCGTTATTCCTTGGAAGAAAGGGGCTTCGTTCCTTATTTATCGTTCCTGAGGTCAGGCCGATGACTGTACTTGCAAAGGGTTCTGGCCTCGGGGGCGCGAATCTCGTGTAATGTGCAAGCGTTGATGGCGTCGGGGATGCACACACTGCGTAATTTACTGGGGCTCTGACCTCGGGGGCGCAGCTATATCGCGTAATGTACAAAGGGATTCTGGTCCCGGGGGCGCGAATCTGGTGTACCTTGCGAGGGTTCATTGCCTCGGGGACGCGAATCTGGGGACATCTGCTAGGGATTATGGCATCCAGGACGCGAATATCGTTCATTTTCACGCGTCCCACGCCACCCCCGGAATTCAGATAACGCGATTTGGACGTGGTGAACATGCTGGTTTGGGGCTCCGCCCCCTCGCGCGTTCAGTAAAACTTGCAGTAGGAAGCAGACAACAGGACTGTAACTTTGGAGACTTGAACCTGGAACTGGGGCAGGGAGCATGAAAGCCTAATCTTCGCAGCCTGATGGCCCCGCAAGGGGGCCGGCGGATATTCCCTTTCATCTCTTCTTTTGTCCTCTCTTCTCTCTCCCTCTCTTCTGATATCATCTCCTCTCTTATCCTCTCGTCTCTTCTCTCCTCTTCTCTTCTCCTCTCTTCTCTTCTCTTCTCTTCTCTTTTCTTATCTTCTCTTCTCTCCTCTTCTCCTCACCTCTCGTCTCTTCTCTTCTGTTCTCTTTTCTCCTCTCCTCTCCTCTTCTCTTCTCTGCTCTGCTCTTCTCTTATATTCTGTTTTAGTTTCTCCTCTCCTCTCCTCTTATCTTCTCTTATATTGTCTTATCTTGTCTTATGTTGTCTCTTATCATCTCATATACTATCATATCTCGCCGGTGTTCTTATATTAAACGGTAATTTCCTATCTCTCCATCTCTTTATACATTTTTTTTATCTTGCCTTCTCTCCTCTTCTCTTCTCTGCTCTTCTCTTCTCTTGTCTTCTCTTGTCTTCTTTTCTCTTCTCTCATCATCTCTCCTTTTCCCTTCTCCTCTCTAAGTATCGCTCCTTTCATAGTATAGTATTTCATTCCCTCTCCTCTTCTCTTATCTGATCTTATAGTATATTATCTTATCCGCTCTGCTCTTCTCTTCTCTTCTCTTCTCTTCTCTTCTCTTCTCTTCTCTTCTCTTCTCTTCTCTTCTCTTCTCTTCTCTTCTCTCTCTTCTCTTCTCTTCTCTTCTCTTCTCTTCTCTTCTCTTCTCTTCTCTTCTCTTCTCTTCTCTTCTCTTCTCTTCTCTCTTCCATACTCTTATATCCCCTTTTCTTATATGATCTTATCGTCTCTTCTCATCTCTTCTCTGTCTTCTCTCTCTCTCCTCTTCTCTCCTCTCCTCTTCTCTACTCTTAGATTATATTATCTTCTCTTATATTATCTCCTCTTCTCTACTCTTCTCTCCTCTCCTCCCCTCTTCTCTCATCTCCTCGTCTCTCCTCTCCTTTCCTCTTCTATTATCTTCTCTTCTTTTCTTTCTCTGTCTAGTTTATCTCTCTTCTCTGTCTTCTCTCTCTCTCTCTTTCTTTTTCTCTTTCTCTCTGATTCTCTCCCTCTGCCTCTCTCTCTCTCACCTGTTTCTTCCCTCTCTCCTTGCATCTATTCCTCTGCACTGCTCCATCTCTTGCTCAAGCCACTGTGGCCCAGAGAGAATCTCCAGGCGGCCTTACGCTACCACCCAGGACTCACCGGTCAGCAGCAGGAGCCTCGGCCATGGCGTCCCGCGTTCCCACTGTGGACGGCGATCGGGCCGCGCTCAACGAGAGCGAGTCCGATCCCGGCGAGGCCGCTCCGAGCAGCGCCTCGCGCCCGCGGCGGGCGTGGGCCGTCGCGGCGGCGCTGGCGGCGGCGGGCCTGGCCTTCGCCCTGCTCCTGGCGGGGGCCCCCGGCCGCCCAGTGCGGTCCGCGGGTGCCTCGCGCGGGGCCCTCATCGCGGAGGCCGAGCAGGCGCCCGAGAGGAATGCGCTGGTGATGCTCCCGGGCACGGGGAAGGAGCGCGTTTTTTTTTGTTTTTGTTTTGTTTCTTCTTCTTTTCTTGCTTGGGGCATGATGGGCATTATAGCCCCCGGCCCCCCCTCCCCCCCTATTTCGTAACGCCTCTCCCCCCCCAGTGCGCTCCGGGCACTGCCGCCGTGCGCACGGCGGGGGGGAGGCGTTACATTATACCACCCCCGTTGGCCCTTCCCCCCCCCCCATCATGCCCACCATCGCCGAAAATGAAGAAACGCGCTGAAGGAGGCCGGTGCGTCCGAGGGCAGCGAGGAGCCGAAGACAGCGGAGGACATCATGGCGGAGGCCGTGGGGCTGGGCAAGGCCGCGGACGACGCCAAGGAGGCCGCCAAGAAGCGCGGCGAGCTCGCCGAGGATCGGGTGAAGCAGGCGCAGCAGGCGATCCAGGACGCCAAGGAGTCGGTCCAGAAGGCGAAGCAGGGCGTCAAGGACGCGGAGGCCCAGATCAAGGAAGGCAAAGCTTTGCACGAGCAGGCACTGAAGGATGTCGAGGAGGGTTCCAGGCAGCAGGAAAAGGCAGAGAGCGACCTTGTTGTGGCGAAGAAGGACCTCGACAGTGCCACCAGCGACCAGGCCAAGGCGCAGGACCAGAAGACCGCTGCCAAGGAGGCAGAGGAGGCCTCCTTGAAGAAGGCCGCGAGCAGCCGCGCCTGCGTTGACCTCCCTGGGGTGAGGATGCGCCCTGGGGCCAGCGAGAACGAGTTCCGCCGCCAGGTGGAGCCCGACTGGTACCCAGAGATGGACAGCATGGCGGCCTGCACGGAGTGGTGCAAGTCGCACGCCTCCTGCATTCAGGCGACCTTCTCCTACGTCGGTGTGCCAGAGGGCGGCAATCCGTGCCACCTGTTCGAGGAGCGCGGCGAGGTCTACGACTTCCGGGACGACTTCAACGCCTCGTGGTGCGGCACTCTCGAGCAGACCGACTACCTGGTTGGGGAGGTCAAGAAGGTTTTCGAGCAGAAACCCTGGGTCGGGGACAACTTCGGTGCCGTCCCGTGTGGCTTCGGCGGCGATGACTGCCAGGAGAGCAGGTGCTGCGGCTCGCAGACGTGCACGTGGGACTTTAGCAAGTGCGAGTACTTCAAGTGCATCAGGAAGGACGAGAACTTCGCCGGCTGCGCTGCGGAGCCAGGGGGTGGTTGGGACGGCGAGATCCTTGGTTACGGGCCCTCCGATGAGGACCTCCCCGCCGTCGAGGATGGGAAGCTGGCCCACCCGACCTCTCTCTTCTGCTTTGTGGTGATGATGCCCGGGGCGCGCGCCTCTGCCGGGGTGCAGGAGGACGAGGGGGCGCTGGTGGCGACCATGAAGGAGACGTCGTCGAGCGTCTACTCCTGCGACGAGCAGCTGGTGATCGAGGGCTGGGTGAGCTCAGGCTCTGAGGCGAACATCGACGCTTTCATCCAGTACTGGGGCAAGGTGAAGGAGGACGGCCGCTACATGCTGCACGACTGGGTGATCAAGGCCGACGCGGACTGCGTCTTCATGGCGGACCGCGTCAAGGCCCATATCAATCAGTTCAAGCCGCCCGCTGGCGCTGCCGTCTACTTCAGGAACACCGCGTTCAGGTTCAACTTCATGGGCGCTTTCGAGATGATGAGCCGGGAGGGCGCCCAGGTGTTCTTCGAGAACAACTGGCAGTGCGACGCGAAGATTGGCCATACGGGCGGAGAGGATTACTGGATGAAGCTGTGCCTTGATACCCTGGGCCTCCGCCACATCTCGGACTACGCCCTGCTGTACGACAAGTACGCCGCGCAGAATGACTGCGTTGACTCTTGGGCCGCAGCCTTCCACTTCTACAAAACCCCCGAGCAGGTTAAGAGCTGCCTGAATGGGATCAACAGATGATAGCGCTCTGCGCGATCGCCGAGCATGTAGCTCCACGGCAGCCCTGTCGGATTTTGCTCGCGCTCGCCGGTTCCCGCTTCGCGTGCGAAGCTGTCAGAACTCCTGTCTTCCAATGAAGCTTAGGGGACGGCACGCGTTCGCTTTAGCAGGCTCGCATTTTTGTGCCAGCGTCTCTAAGACACGCCAGACAATGTGCAATTCCAGCAGCTCGGCACGCTGTTGCTGCAATTACCTTCGCAGGTGCATTATGGCTGGGAGCCGTAGCATCAGCTGCTCTCTCCGTCGTCGCCGTCCTCCTCCTCTCTGATGTTCCTGCACCTCCTCATCTTCCAACACTCAAGAGGCAAGTGCCTTCTGGAATTTAAAGGCAGCGAATCTGGTTGTCTTTGCGTGCACGAGTTAGCTCATCAATCCTGCCCCCATCTTGGCGCGCTCTTCTCTTCAATTTTCGTATGAACAGTGCCGAATTCGATCTTCCCGTCCGCCTAAGACCGTGGCGCTGACCCGACAGCAACGCGGTCATGAGCCTCCGCAGAGAAAACAAGTTCCATCTCTTACACTCTTTCCTCCTGTAGGTATTTGCCCCCCCTTCATAAAGCTTGTATTAGCCAGCGTGAACCCCAACCAGTGACTTCTCACAATATATGCGGTGCAATCTAGCTGGTGCAATCAATGTGGTGCAGTCTAGGTGATGCAATCCATGTGCAATCTTTATGGGGCAGAGCAATGCACCGCAATGCACAAGACACATGAATGCAACGCAGTGCAACACACTGCAACGCAATGCACAGCAATGGGACGCAATGTAAAGCAATGGGACAACATGCACAGCAGTGCAACGACATGTAGTGCGATGCAGCGACATGTAAAGTAATTGAATGCCGAGCAATGCAACGCAATGCAAACCAGTGTAAAACAATGCACCGCGATGCAACACAATGAACAGCACTGCAAAGCAATACAAAGCAATCCACAGCAATTCAAAGCAATGCACAGCAATGCAAAGCAATGCACTGCGGTGGAGCGCAGTGCAAACCAATGGAACACAACGCAGCGTAATGCAAAGCACTGCTTATGAATACAACGCAATGCAACACAATGCACTGCGAATCAATACCATGCAACGCAATACAAAGCCGTTCAATGCAATGCACAGCAATGCAAAGCATTCACAAGCAACGCGCAGCGATGCAACACAGACATGCAACGCAATGCGACACAATGCAACGCAATGCACGGCAACACAATGCAATGCCTTGCATTTGCAGCCAAGGAACGCGATGCAACCCAATGCAAGTCTGGAGATCAATGCAACGCACTGCAGCGCACTGCAACGCAATGCAACGCAATTTGCAGCAAGGGAAACAATGCACAGCAATGCAAAACGATGCAACACTATGCAAAGCGCTGCACAGCATTGTAATGCGATGCGAAGCCATGTAAAACAATGGTGTGCAATGGGAAGCAATGCAAAGCAATGCACAGCACATCAACGCAATGCAAACCACTGCAAAGCAAAGAAACGCAATGCACAGCACTGCAAGGCAATGTAATGCGAGGCATCACAGCGCAAAAAACAATGCAACGCAACGCAACGTAATGCAATGCAGTGCAGGGCAATGCGAAGGGGGGGGAATGCAACGGGGGCAGGGGTGCACGGGGCGTCGGCGACGGACGGTGACGGGGCCGTCGAGCCCGCAAACGGGCTGTTTATTTGGTAAGAACGGTTTTTTGAAGGCAGATCTGCCTTCCAAAAATTCTGTAAGAACTGTTTTTTGAAGGCAGATCTGCCTTCAAAAAACCGTTCTTACAGAGTAGACCAGTCTTTCCTCCTTGCAGGTAGAGTGCGAATCCAGTTCCTCAGACGCCGCGAAGGAAGAGCCCCTAAGTGCAAGCACTGTCTGGTGAATGTCTTTTGTCCTGTTTTCGCCGGATCACCGAATGGTAACCTGTTCAAGCATCTGCTTGCTCTGCTGCTATCTCGCTGGTCCATGCGTTCTTTTGCCTGCAGCGGTCTCGCCCAAGAGGTGGTCTTTGGGCTGCCCGAAGAAATAGTCAGGTGACGATTTTTCTGTTGTCTTTTTTGACTATTTGTGGGTCTCTTTTTTTGTGAGTACTTTTTTCGCCAAACATCCTTCTGTAGGGGGACATGCCCGACTCAATCCCATGGCCTGGCACCCGGCAGCAGCCATCCCGGCAACCCTGTCACCGCTTCCCCCCTCTTAGCGGCTCCTCAGCAGGGATGGGGCATTGGCACGTTAGCATCTTCGTTGCCGTGATTAGGGGGCCACAAGCGAACCCTACCCTACCCCCCACGATTTCTGAGGGGGAGGGTGGGGTTCACTTCGCTCGAGAGCTCCCGAACGAAGTGAACCGCACCCTCCCCCTCAGAAATCGTGGGGGGAAGGGGTAAGGCTCGCGTGTGGCCCCCTATCTTCGTTGCCCTGATACGCCCGTGTCGGAACGCAGCACGTGCTGTGCGAAACACGTCAGTGTTCGCGCGCCGCGTGTCGCTTCTGCACGTGCTGGTCCGCGTTTTGGCGATCGCGTCGCGCCAGGCCTACAGTCAAAAACCCTAATAAGGACGCGCGACTTTGCTCAGGGAACCCTTGCGTCCTTGCTTTTCTTTGCTCTTGCGTCCTTGAGGTTTTCGTCGTCGGCCGCCCCCAAAATCCCAACTTGGGCTTCCAAGGGTCTTGCGTCCTTACCGCGCGTCCTTAGTAAGGTTTTTGACTGTGCGTGCTGAGCTCGGTTGTCAACACGCTACGGGCTGTGTGTTGCGCAGCGGGGCGACTAAGGCAAGCGGGACGGGCGGCCCAGTCAAGTGGCCTTGGAGGCGCCCCAAGAAGCCCCAAGAGAGGCTCAATAGAGAGGTCCCAAAGTGATGCCCCGAGCTGCCGAGTCAGTTGGACGACCAACTGTTTTTTTCAGCTGCCCCCTGATCTCTGTGCCCGTTTCTTCTTGCTGACGATGCGGCGCCTCCCTTCTCTCAGGGGCAACTCGAGGAGGGATAGGCTCAGGGGTGGCTACGACGACCCTCGATCTAACGGCGATGTATCGTCGATTCCAGCTCCATGTTCTCCCCCACCTGAGCAGTCCCTAACGTTGCCCCTCATCCTCCAGCTCTCCTGCTTCCGTTGCGACTCGTGCCGCCGCCGCCACTGCAGACGGTGGTGGGAGCTGGTGCTGGCGCTGAAGCTGCAATCCTTCTGCCGCTGCTGTCGTTGGCGGGGATGGTACCGATGCTCATGCCTCGCCTTCCTCGAGCTGCGCCGTCTCATTATGTTTGCTTAGGATGCGGTTCCTGGGATATAGAATTTCAGCATCGGCGCTGGTATATCCGTGGTCGAAAACCAGCCTAATCCAGCATGCTCCCGTTGAGTTCAGCTGAATCCCACTTAATACGACTCAATCGGTTTCAATCCTGGACCCGCCCTAATCTGGCCTAATGGCCCCTTCTTCGGGGCTAGCAGCCCTTACCCAGACATCCTTCGATCTGTTTCTTTTCAATACGCAGCCCCAGAGCTCCCGACCCTCTCCTGGGGGGTCGTGTTCCCCACCGGCTCCGTTTCCGTTTTTGGTGTCCCCGGGCCCGTGGGTGAACCCCAGAGGCGGAAATCGAGGACGCCCGCTCAGGTTGAAGAAATCTTGTCATCGAAGATTTGGAGACTGATGGGCTTGTCTTCCACCACCACCATAAGTTGGAGGGGGCGGCGATGACGCGCTGGCGACGCTGGCGAAGGCGCTCAAGGTTGAACTCCGCATGATAGAACGACGCTCAAGCAACGAGGGACACGGCAACGCCACAGGGCCCGACGGAATTCAACCTTGGACAGTCGGGGTCGCGATCGGTTCAAGGCTGAACGATCGGCGCGGTGCCAAAAACCTTTGCGCGTGACGACGCTGCACGGACCTGCCGTGCAGTCGGACCGGGGTGCAGGGTCGAGGCCAGCTCCGGGAGGTTGCCCCAGAGTTGATGGGCTTGTTTTACACCACCACCACCACCATAAGTTGGAGGGGGAGGGGGTCCTCCTCCTCTTCCTCCTCTACCTCCTCCTCCACCTCCTCCTCCTCCTCCTCCTCCTCTTCCTCTCTCCTCCTCCTTCCTCCCTCCAGCTTACGGTGGTGGTTGTGAAAAACAGGCGCATCAAGAGTTCTTCGTGCATGCTGGGCCTTCTTGTGCATCCTGTGGGAGGGTACCCTCGAGTGCTCTTCACGTTGGCCAGCGGAGGTCTACCGCCAGAATGTCTCCGCATCCACGGCTTCGGAGTCGTGCCCTGGGATCTCGATGAGCGGCGGATATGGACATCTGCCCGCCCGCGTTGGCGGGCAGATGTCCATTTCCGCCGCTCCCCGAGCCCACGGAACACGACCCAGCAGCAGTGGATCTGGCCGTATCCTGGCGGCGCAGGAGGGTCTCATGTTCTTGCAGGATGTCTCCTCACCTCATTCCTCGTCGTCGTCCCCCTCCTCCTCCTCCTGCTCCTCCTCCTCTTCCTCCTCCTCCTCATTCTGGCCCAGGTCCGGCCGTCGCATGCCTTGCCTTCCTCTGGCTGCGCCTGCGCGTCCTGTTGGCGCCCTCGCCCGGGATCTCGGCCCCCCCCCCGCCGCGGGCGCCGAGGGCCTCGAGGAGGCGAGCCTGGCCGAGCAGATCGTGCCGCCGGGAGGGACGCCCCTGCCGGTCGCGTTCGGCATCGTTCCGCCCGTCCCCATCCCCACACCAGACCCCCTCGAGAAGTGACAAAATCCCGAAGCAGGGTTTTTCGCTATCGTCGGCTTCGGCCCCTGGGGGGGCTCGCCAGGGCCCCCGGGGCGGTCAAAAAACGACTCAGGGTGAAACACCCGTCCCAGGGAAAGGGGTCCAGACCTCATCCCCACCAGGCCATGGTTCGCCATGTGGGCAGCGGGTTTGTTGAGGGAAACAGGTCCTGAGAATTTTCGTCGTTTTCGGGCCCTCGGGGCCCTCCACGAGGCCCGGGACTGTCAGAAAATGATTCGGGATGAACTGCTCCCAGGGTAATGTCCCAGGGTCCAGGACCCGTTTCCCTCAGGACCCGTTTCGCCCATGCCAATATGGTACCTCAGACCCACCATCATACACCAGTTGGGGCTAGGATAGGCCCCTCGAAGCCCGAAGGGAACAGCCTACTTCTCCATCTAGGGGGGCAAATCGGCCAGTGGTGCCGACGCCGTGCCAGTGGGGAGGGGGATCGCTTAAAGGATGCTCACGTGTTTCTCTCCTTCCTCGGCGGAGGCAAGAGGGGTGGACAGCCAAGGGGCGGGCACTACACGTGTCTCAGATAAGCTTTGAACAATGTCTTCGCTTGCGCAATACTTGTGTACACATAACGGGGGGCCAGACCCGGGGGCCCCAGGGGGCCCTCTAAGATCGCCCGAAGACGGCCTTGGACTGCCAGAAATCGCCCTTCGGACCGCCAAAACAACCAATGTCAGTAGAGATGACCCCAGAATTAGCCCCAGACTCTTCAAGAGGCTTCCCAGACGCCCCAAGAGCCTTCCAAGAGGCCTCCCAAGAGGGCCCGAAGAGGCACAATCGCAGATTTTCCGTAGGTTTTTGAAGGAGTTTCGAGTTCTCGCCTTTTCAGTTTCCGGACGCTCCACGACTGTCCGAGAGGCCCCAGTGCCTGCTCCAACACAGCCCAAGAGGCCTCCAAGAGGGCGCCAAGACGGCCCAAGAGGGCCCCGAAACGGCGCCCGAGGCGTCCAAGACGGCCCAAGAGCTTGTCAAGACGGCCCCGAGAAGGGCACAGGAGGGGTAAACCGAACCGACAATCCGAGCTTCACCTCGAGAGGCCCCCTGGAGGGCCCCAAGGGCCTTCCAAGAGGCCCCCAGGAGGCCCCCGCGAGGCCCACACGCGGGACGGACGCGCGCTCGTCTCGCGGTGGTCGGCGCCTCGGCGGTCTCTGCGCCCGAGCCTCGCCAGTCTCGGGCTGCTCCTGCCGTGGTTCCAAGAAGGGCAAAAAAGGTACAGGCACGATTTCTCCTCCTCCTCCTCCTCCTCCTCCTCCTCCGCACTCCTCCCTCCTTCTCCTCCTCCGCCCTCCTCCCTCCTCCCTCTTCCTCGTAAAGTGAATTCACGCCGCCTCGTCGGGCGGCAGGCTCCGGAGCGGCGGCGTCTTCGCGAGCGCTTCGAGGCCTCCAAGAAGGAGCGTGGTTTCTCGGAGGTCCGCGCGGACTTCTTGGATCGGCGCTGGGCCCCCCTCCCTGGGCGCGGAGCGCGCCAGGGGCTGCGCTGGAATGCCGTTTTTTTGGTTCCTCTGATCAAGGGTTAAGTCGGGCCTGTCCCTATACAGGAGGAGTATTCAAGAATAGTCAAGACATAGTTTGGGGAGGAATTTTAGAGTTTTTTGTTTTTCCAATATATATATATACATATAGGCAGTATTCTTTGAGTTGTCTTTATTTTTCGCGTGAAGTCTCTCTGTAGAGGGACAGGCCCGACCTAACTCTAATCAAGGGAGGAGAAACCGCCCTGGCCCCCGTACTTGGAGTTTACCAGACGGCCCTGGGCGTTTACTGAACAGCCCTGTCCCGTTCGATTCCTGCCCTGGGTGCGCGTACTAACGGCTTCGCATGTTGGGGTGCTTCCAGTTGGACCGAGGTACAGTGGGGGCGCGCATTCAGAAGCCATACGCTTTTCGTCAGGGTATCCCGGGTTTCCGCGCTCCTCGCGCTGCGCGGTGACTTCCCGCAGCCGTTGAAGGAGCTGCTGCGTTCAGGGTGCTCCGGGTTTCCCCTCAGGTGTACCTCGCGCATGGGTTCTCAGAGTTGGTTTTCTTGCAAGGGTTTCTTGCGGCCGCGCCCGCACTGTATAGGAGCGAAGTCAGTTCGGGGAGGGTGCCCTCATGTTCTTCGTGTTTTTGCTGGATGCTCTTGGGCATCCTGGGGGAGGGGGGTGCCCTCGAGTGATCTGATGGTTTGGGGTGCTCTGGCCGGCGGAGGGTCTCGTGTTCTTAAAGGATGTTCTTCTGTCCTAGGTCCGACCGTATCATATTTTTGTTGTTGTTGTTGTTGTTGTTGTTGTTGTTGTTGTTGTTGTTGTGGTTGTGGTTGTGGTTGTGGTTGTGGTTGTGGTTGTGGTTGTGGTTGTGGTTGTGGTTGTGGTTGTGGTTGTGGTTGTGGTTGGTGGTTGTGGTTGTGGTTGTTGTTGTTGTGGTTGTGGTTGTGGTTGTGGTTGTGGTTGTGGTTGTGGTTGTGGTTGTTGTTGTTGTTGTTGTTGTTGTTGTTGTTGTTGTTGTTGTTGTTGTTGTTGTTGTTGTTGTGGTTGTTGTTGTTGTTGTTGCTGCTGTTGTTGGTGTTGTGGTTGTGGTTGTTGTTGTGGTTGTGGTTGTTGTTGTTGTTGTTGCTGCTGCTGCTGTTGTTGTTGTTGTTGTTGTTGTTGTTGTTGTTGTTGTTGTTGTTGTTGTTGTTGTTGTTGGTGTGTGTGTGTTTTTCCCTCCTACCTGGTGGTCTGGACCCCGTCGACCTGTGCTCCCTTCCCTCGGCGTCCGTGCTGCTGCAGCGGGCCTCGTCGCGGCAGCCCCCCTGGGAGCGGGCGCGGGGCCTCGCGAGGGGCGGCGTGTGCCGATGCGGTAGGGGCCTCGGACCGGGAACGGTTGGGCAAGGAATCGCTTCGAACGCGGCCACCCCTCCTCCTCCTCCTCCCCCTCCTCCTCCTCCTCCTCCTCCTCCTCTCCTCCTCCTCCCCCTCCCTCCTCCCCTCCTCCTCCTCCTCCTCCTCCTCCTCCTCCTCCTCCTCCTCCTCCTCCTCCTCCTCCTCCTCCTCCTCCTCCCCCCGCCCCCCGCGCTCCAGGTGCCCTTCACGGCGGTGGCCAGGGTGCTCCTGGCAGTCCTGTGCTCGAAGGCCGCCTGCCAGCCGCGCTGGCGCCTCCTCGTGTCGGTGATTCTCCTCCGGGGCGGGGCCTTATCCCGCGACCCCGTCGCGTTGGGAAAAAAGCGCGACAGCAGGTTGTTTCGGTACCTTTGGCCTCGGGGGGCCCTTACAGGGCCTCAGGACCGTCAAACAACGGCTCAGGATGAAAATCCGGTCCCAGGGAAGGGGTGCAGACCTCGTGGGGTCGACGCGGTAACAAAAATCACGACGTCGGGGTCTGGGTCCATAAGCGCCGCTTGGGGGGTCGATGCTCTTGGCGGACCTCCAGGGGCGGTGGATATGGACACATTCGGGCCCCCGGGGGCCACAACATGTTCACATCCGCGGCCCGCTGGGGCACCTGGACGTCGGTTTCCAGGCTGTGAGGTCGCGCGTCAATGCCCTCGTCTCGCGGTATCGTTTAACGGGCCCCCGTCCCCATCCCCATCCTCATCCCCTTCGAGACCCTACCAAATTTCCACCCCAGTTGGGGATATGCCCCTCGAAACCCGAGGGGAACGGCCTATATCCCCATCGAGGGGGGTAAATCGGCCAGTGGGGCCCAGGCCACGCCGCTGGGGATGGGGGTCGGTAAACGATGCTCAGTCTCCAATGCAGCGCGTCGCGCTGGTGGCCCGCGTAAACTGCGGCCCATGGTCGCTGCGTCATCTCGCGTAGGACCTGTTTTTGATCGTCGCTCAGTTGGCCAGAGCTTGCTGCCATGCAGGCAAGCCTGTGGAAGGACACTGCGCGAGAGCACAGCCGCTCTCGCTGGCTCCCTTCTGTTTTGCTCAGGTACGCGTCGCGCGGCTTCCAATCGTGCGTCGTATCGAAGGGCTTTTGTGGATAAGAGTACGTCTCGGCATCTACCAGCCATACTTCTACGATGTGTGCGTTGCGTTCCCAGGGGCGACGAGCGCGGTGAGAAATCTGATAGTACGGTGGAGGCGTTGATTAAGGAATAGTTTCAGGAGGCGCCAGACCCTGGAGGATTCCTTATACAATGAGGGCGGCGGTGATATCCATGGCCGATCCACGATTGAAATTCCACTGGCTTCCAGACCCTGGATTCCTTACCTAAGGGTTCCTTATCCAATGCCCCCTCCGTAGAAGTTCCGTGGTGGGCGCTCTCTGGCCATACCGCTCGGGAAGCGATAACGGTTGGAACGGAAGTGACCCCAACTGGGAAATCGGTTTCGGTTCCGGTTCGTGTCGTGCGTGCGGGCGAGGCGAAGCTGCGCGAGTTCCATCCTCAGTAGAGGCCATCTATTGCCAAAAGGGCCGCCCCCCGAGCGCCGGGCGCAGCCCCCGGTTGTCCTGGTGGTTGTCCCGGCGGCTGTGCCCCGGAGGTTGTCCCCGCGGTTGCCCCGCTGGTTGCCCCGCCGGTTGCCCCGCTGGTGGCCCCGGTGGATGCCCCGATGCCTGTCTCGATGTCTGTCTCGATGCGCCCAGATGGACCTCCTCGGCAACACTCCAACATACTTATACTATATGTGCGTCGCCCCCCCCAGGGGCGACGCGCGCACCGAGAAATCTTATAGTGTATGCGTCGTGGCGGGCGCTTTCTGGCCACACCGCTCGGGAAACGATATACTACAAGATGGGTATACTATATGTTCGGGTCGGACGCGCGCCTCCAAGGAGGACATATAGTATTAGTATGTCCATGTGCGTCCCATCCGTGGGGCTGCTCTGCGGCCCGGAGGCCGCGCCGGCGAGTCGACAGCAACGCCCACAGCCAAGGGGAAACAGACAGACCGAGCGCACGCCCGGGCGCTCCACTCCGCGGCCCAAGGGGGGCGAGGAGAGGCCGAGGGGCTGCGCAGGTGCCTGGCTCGGTCGCTGCCGCACCGTCGTGTGTGGAGCGCCGCGACTCTGCAGCGACAAGGTGGCCCGAGAGGTCCATCTGCGAAGGGGTGCGAACATGACGTGGAGGAGCTGGCCGAGGGGGAGGGGAAGGGGCATGTGGGAATACGAGAGGAGAGAGAGAGAGAGAGAGAGGGAGAGGGAGGGAGAGAGAGAAAGAGAGAGAGAGAGAGGGCGAGAAAGAGAGAGAGAGAGAGAGGTGGAGGGGGAAGGGAGTAGGGATTGGGGAGAGGTGGAGAGGAGGAGAGGGTGACTGAGAGGGGGGGTCGCGACTTTAGGGCTCATCATGTCTGAGAGCACCGGAACCGGTGATGGCGCCAGACCATCAGGCACAGGGTGCGTAGCGACGTATCTCTTCACAGCATTGCTGAGTTTGGGGATGGCGATACACTGCGCCGCTTGGTGAGAACATGCATCCGCACGTGGACTGACCGGGAGCCGCAGGGTAGCCGCCGGTTTCCAGAATGAAGGCGAGGGGGTCGGAGGAGAACATTCGAGGAACCACCTCACCCCATCGCCATCACCACTGGTCCCCTGCTTCCCGCCTCCACACTTTAATAGGATGAGTACTATTATCCCTCTTCCCCTGAAGCTGCCTGGAAGATCTCCCGCCCCCTCTGCGTGCTGTTTTTGTTTGTGACGCAGGCTTTCAAGCACTTTACCAAACAGCGAAGACAGATAGGTTTCCAGTGGTCTCAAAAGAGAGCATGATGACTCCCCAGGGGGGTCTGGGCAGGGTGCCGCGGGAATCCGGGGACTCGCCATTTTCATTGCCAGGACCCACATTCTGACTGCCTGGAGCCAACAGGACACCACTCCCAGGCCACATTTTGAATGCCCGGAGCCAACTGTAGGCCACTTCGTGTTCTTCGTGCTCCCAGAACACCATTCCCAGGCCACATTCTGAATGCCCAGAGCCAACTGTAGGCCACTTCGTGTTCTTCGTGTTCCCAGAACACCATTCCCAGGCCACATTCTGAATGCCCAGAGCCAACTGTAGACCACTTCGTGTTCTTCGTGTTCCCAGAACACAATTCCCAGGCCACATTTTGAATGCCCGGAGCCAACTGTAGGCCACTTCGTGTTCTTCGTGTACCCAGAACACCATTCCTGTACAATATTGGAGAGGCCTGACCGCCGGTGTCGCCGACCCTGATCGAAAGGGCTAGGAGTGGGGGGAGGAAGCGGAGGAGGAGGAGGAGGAGGAGGAGGAGGAGGAGGAAGAGGAGGGGAGGAGGGGGAGGGGGATGATGATGATGATGATGATGATGATGATGATGATGATGATGATGATGATGATGATGATGATGATGATGATGATGATGATGATGATGATGATGATGATGAGATGAGGAAGGAGAGATGAGGAGGATGAGGAGGAGGAGGAGGAGGAGGAGGAGGGAGGAGGAGGAGGAGGAGGAGGAGGAGGAGGAAGAGGAGGAGGAGGAGTGCATCCTTTGTGTGCCCGCTCGAAGAAAGTGCGCCCCGGGAGTGTGATATTCTGACTTGGGACGTGCTCCCGGAAGAGGAAGAAGTGCATCTCGGGCGTGCCCGCTCGAGGAAAATGCGCCCTAGGGGGGTGGTATTTTGACTCGGGCCCGCTCCCGGGACGCCTCTGCGGGAGGAGGAGGAGGAGGAGGAGGAGGAGGAGGAGGAGGAGGAGGAGGAGAGGACAGGAGGAGGAGGAGGAGGAGGAGGAGGAGGAGGAAGGAGGAGGAGGAGGAGGAGGAGGACCAGGAGGAGGAGGAAGTGCATCCCGTGCGTGCCCGCTCGAGGAAAGTGCGCCCCGGCGGGCGTCGTATCTGCCCCGGCCCCCCCCCCCCCCCCCTGCGGGGAAGGGATCAAAGGGAAGGGGCTTCCCTTCGACTCCACTACGACGTCGTTTAATTTCGCTTTGGGTAGCGCGCTTGAGGAGGAGAGCCCTGGGAGGGGGAGAACGGAGACGACGGAGACGACGAGTCGAACGGAGAAGCCCCTCTCACACGCCGACAGGGTCGGCGGATTTTGATTGCCCAGAGCCAATCGTGGGCCACTTCGTGGTCTTCGTGTTCCCAGAACGCCAGTCCTGTGCAATATTTTGAATGCCCGAGCTGAGGCAGGCTGAGGCCGAGGCAGGCTGAGGCCGAGGCAGGCTGAGGCTGAGGCTGAGGCACGCCGAGGCAGGCTGAGGCTGAGGCTGAGGCAGGCTGAGGCTGAGGCAGGCTGAGGCTGAGGCTGCAGCAGGCTGAGGCCGAGGCAGGCTGAGGCTGAGGCTGAGGCAGGCTGAGGCTGAGGCAGGCTGAGGCTGAGGCTGAGGCAGGTTGAGGCTGAGGCTGACGCCGAGGCAGGCTGAGGCTGAGGCTGAGGCTGAGGCTGAGGCTGGTGCTGAGGCTGAGGCTGAGGCTGAGGCTGAGGCTGAGGCAGGCTGAGGCAGGCAGGCTGAGGCTGAGTCCGAGGCAGGCTCAGGCCGAGACAGGCTGAGGCTGAGACTGAGGCTGAGGCTGAGGATGAGGCCGAGGCAGGCCGAAGCCGAGACAAGGTGAGGCTGAACGGGGGGGGGAGAGGGAAGGGGGGGGAGGAGGGGAGGCTGAGACTGAGGCTGAGGCCGAGGCAGGCTGAGGCCGAGGCAGGCTGAGACTGAGGCTGGAGGCTGAGGCAAGCCGATGCAGGCTGAGGCTGAGGCTGAGGCTGAGGCTGAGGCTAAGGCAGGCTGAGGCTGAGGCAGGCTGAGGCTGAGGCTGACGCAGGCGGAGGCCGAGGCAGGCTGAGGCTGAGGCTGAGGCAGGCCGAGGCTGAGGCCGAGGCAGGCTGAGGCTGAGGCTGAGGCAAGCCGAGGCAGGCTGAGGCTGAGGCTGAAACTGAGGCAGGTTGAGGCATCCGTAGGGATCCATGGGAATCCTTAGGAATCCCGAGGAATCCCTAGGAATCCGTAGGCATCCTGAGGAACCCGTAGGCATAGTTAAGCATCTTCAGGAATCCTTAGGAATCCTTAGGATTCCTCAGGAATCCTTAGGGATCCTTAGGAATCCATAGGAACCCGGATTCCTAAGGATTCCTAAGGTTTCCTAAGGATTCCCATGGATTCTTGAGGATGCCTAAGGATGCCTTAGGAATCCCTAGGAATCTTTAGGATTCCATTGGATCCT